TCTTAACTTCTTTTTCGAAGTTTAATTTATCCATCCATCAAGTTAGAGGGTGACTGCATTCAATTTCAATTTCATTCCAATTCATTTTTCACCGGTAGTTTCAACCGCTCTTGTCTATGGAATTTTAGGGTATATGCTGATTCTTCTCTTTGAAGTGGATTCTTATTGTTTTTTTTTGGAGTGATAAGAACCGTTTAGAGAAAAACGATTTCCAACTTTTTAGTACAAGCACCAGTGAGAAGTCGTTCAAAAAAGGTTTCCACAAATTAGGGGGTCGAACTGGTTAGGCTTGAAACAAGTTGAAAGAATAACTGGTCAGGGCCTGATGTGTTTCTTACATCCTTTACAACCCTACTTACGAAAGCAGAGAGAAGAAAGAGGCGGAAGCTACGAGCTAAATTCACATACCAGAAACAAGCCTTGAGCGAAACCTAAGCCAAGTTTCGAAAAGCCATGGTCCTACCTTCTGCTTGATAGAAGATAATTGAGGCGGTTGACAAGAATAGCGGTCCCTTCGACGGTGCGGGATTAACGCTGGGGAGAAGAAGAAGACCTGCTTGAGTTGATGTGAGCTATCATATGGGTGGGCTGTTCTTTCGAAGTTTTTTTTTTCGGGCGGAAACTTTATACTATCTTGCCTACAAACGGTCTCGAACCATTTCTCGAAGCTGTCGCCCTCTTCCTTGCTATACTACTCTACCTATAAAGACGTCCCTTTGGTTCAGTTCGTTGAGGAAATTACTTTCTGTCGATGCGCCCTCAAGTTCCCATGCGGAACATCCATCTTGGTCTTTTTCATTAGTGCCAAACAGTCATTAAGCACCAGTGACGTGACCGTCAGGTTTAATGTCTTCATCTGACGTCTTCCATTGTTGCTTGTCGCTCATTCGAACTTAGTCACAGCGCCCAATTCATTGGCTGCATTTATTTATTTATTTATTTATTTATCTATTTATTTATTTGCTTACTTGTTGGGTCCTTATTTGTTTATAGTTTATTCGTTTATCTCCACACGTCAGAGGCACCACTGAGCGTGCAGGCATTTGTGAGAGTGTAATTCAACCGAAAGAACAGCAGAAGAAGATGAGTAGGTAGAACGCAGGTTTTACGTCTTCACCTGACGTCTTAATGTAGCTTGGCACTATTGATCTAAAAGCAATATAATCACTTGTAATGTGCTATACCACACTATACCATACAATATTTTGCTACCTGTGCTATATTACACTGTACTATTTTTTCTGCCTTTCCTAGGCATCAGACTCATTCCGCCTGCATTTACTTTCTAGCCCGGCAACCATGAATAGTCCCTATTTCAATTAATCCTATGGCTGCTGTTCCGAAGAACTTCCATGAAGTTTTTCCACCAGCAACAGTCCAGTACAGCGGAAACATGATCGATCAACGATCGACTGATTGCCTACTTTATCGACCCTCAATTTTCTCTTATGCGGATCATCCTTCATGATTTTCCCACCTCAAAAACGAAGATTAATGTGTTACAAAGTGTTAGGTTGCCGTCTGAAGGTCTTGCTTTTGGCTCGCACCCTTCTCGTTCCACTCATCTTCGACAACCCTGTTATTTGCAGCCAGGTGTGAACGTTCATGTCACCTGCTGTAATGGAGGAATCAGATTCAGCGGAACCTAGCTATCCCCATATGCTCACCTCTTTATAATTATTCAGAAAGGATTTTTCGTGATTGATAATAACTTCGAGTAGGTGCCGATATGACGGCTTTCCCAAATACAAAAACGATTTCGTCGTTGTCTGGATAAGGACGACAGGCTCATGATGCGTCAATGGATATTACGGTTCAATAGCAATCTTTTGAGACTATCTTCATAGCTATGAACCAACCATTCATCCTATTTATGGATGACAGTCAAATGCTAACGGAGGTGACTTAATGGAGCGGCTACGATCGCTTTTCGGTTGTACGATTGCCCTTTTGGCCATTATGTAAGGATTGGACAGGAGTATCATCAATGATACAAGTCTCGGAGTGGGCATAGGAAGCTTTCGTTGACTGGTCCTTATAAGAGCAGTAACGCATAAGCTCACAGTTCAAAATGTGTGCTATGAGCTCACCTTTTGATACAGAAACTATTGAAGACTTCCTTCTCCACTGCAACGAAGGAGGCGACGACGTCGGAAGTATGGTTTGGTCATTACCCTATGTGATTTAAGGATCGAACCGCACCCATGCCATAAAAATTCTCCTAGTAGACCAATCATTTAAGGTTTGCCCTAAATATAAGTCGTGGCATGCGTGGTAACAATTGATCAAGAGCGAGTTCTTCACCTTTTTTTGGCTCCTACAACAGCCTTCGGGGTTCAGTGAGCATGAGTCAGGAGGCGCCATCGCGGTGGCGGCACTAAAATTAGGTTATCGCACACGACGGTCCAAGAATGTCTGACACGTCCTTCTTTCATGGTTTCGGCAACGCAACACATTCGAACCCTATGAATTTGTTGGGTGTCGGAGGTGATAAGACAAGAAGTGTAGATGGTAATTCATTTCTCGAAATCCAACCGGCAACGGATGGTCCACTAATGGTTTCGACGATGGATCAATTCGATCCGTGGACTGATGAAATTGATTTATGCGGGGATTTTCTTGTGAGTCGATAAGTTTTGAGTAAACTGAAATGGTCTTGCTAAAAAGTGGATTGTACGAAACTCAAATAGTTGCTTTTTGTAAAGGTAAACTGAGGTAATCTGGAAAGGTGTGCCTTGCGCAGTTAAAAAGGTCTTCTTCTTCAAACCCCGGGTTTTCGATACAGTAATCATTCTCAATAGGAAAGTAGAAAGAATGGGTAATCAAGAAGATTTTTGTAAGCAAGGTTCATAAGAATGAAGGTACGGAGCATAACAGGCTGGCATTAGGATTA